TCTCGGACATTAAGCCATATCAAAGTTTGCCTATTGTTATGGTTTGATACGTTTGAAGACAGTGGCGCTATTCTTCGTTATCCTCCGGCACCTTTCTGTCGGATGGTTTAAATCGAGTTAGGCAAATGTTGAGTTCAGGCAATAATTTTTTCGGTGGGGGGGACTTTTGCGTAAGGGTGGTATCCCTAGGCATGTATAAAGCTCAGGAAATTTAAAGCAAAAAATTGGGTTGGGAGGGAGGAAGGGTGATTGATTGCCACRAAAAAAAAGGGTCGCGCTGACTTCAAAGTTTAGCACCATCTCAGGTGGCAAGAGAACCTAAAAGTGCTTTTGCGAAGGTATCCTATCAACTTGAGAATATGAGATGCATTGCAACATCCACTACTGGGAGTGCCAGTCATAACGTGGAAAAAGTAAACCACTCATTTAACATAAGTCTATGTGAAGAAGATAATAGTGAACCAGAAGCGGGACGAAGAAAGATTCAGCCGTCTCTATGATATGACTAACTGACCGCTAAATTATCTTTCTGTCGTTGGTGTTACCTTTTTCCGATGGGCCCAGTTACCACCTAACTTCTGTGTGCATATTCTGCATACTGTTCTCTATACATTTCCCAAGATGCTGACAAAAAATAAAAATCAAGAGGTTGTTCGGTTGGTGATCTTTCAATTATTCATATGTGTGATTCAGGGGTGATATTGAGAGAGATTTCAATGCTTATCATATTTTAGAGGTCGAAAGGATTAACGGTTGTCGTAAGTCGCAAGTAATGTACGAAGCGATTTTTATTTGTAGGAAACAATTCCAAAATTAGTCCATGGATGTTTAGGAGTTAAAAGTGTACTCGTCATTCTTTATTTGCAACTATTATTTTTGCTTCCACATGAGTATTTCTGAAATTTCACGAGGTTTTCCGGTAACCTTCCTCAGGAAATTATTAGGAGATAGTTAACCTCGTGTTTACGAATTTTTGTTTTTTGCTTTTTGTCCCAATACACCTGAGAAAATATTACAGCTGAGACCAAAAGCAGAAAGAAAATAAAAACCTAATGAATCAATTCGAGGTAGAGAAGGGAATTCTGTTTCCTATTTTCTATCTCTTCATTTTATTGGGGAATTTTTACGGGCTAATAGCAATTTTAACATAAAATAAATAAATAAATACGAAAATTGAAGCTCCTCCTTAGGGGCTTTGCAGTTTCAATGTAAACTAAGTGCTTAAAAATCCCCACTGGCAGGAGGCAGACCAGTGGGCTATTTACAGAGTGCAACCGAGGAGTTGAACTAAGGGCAACCGAGAACAAATCTACTAAGTGGCAGTGTGGAGGTTTTGAACCTGGGACACCGGATTACAAGTCTAGCACCATAACCACTCGGCCACGCCGCCTCCTTAATTCTATTTTTTTATAAAGAAAAATGTCGATGTATTACAGGTTAAAGGGATTAGAAATAGATAAAAGATAAAGTCCAACTTCTAAATATAACCAGGCTTTCCGCGCGCGCTTTCCTCGATAAGGTTCTCGAAATATCCGAGAGTAGATTCAGTACCATCGGTAACCCATCTATGCTTCGCGGTTTTATCATGAGAAGATAAAAAAAGACAGTTTCAGATCTTCTACCAAACTTTCTCCTGATTGAAATGAGGAGTGTACTGAGAAACATTCCTCATGCGACTAAAACTCCTTAAATTCAACCGACAGCTTAAATGAAAAGCGCTCCTTACCTTTTAATTACCTCCGTAGTGTTTTTGTTTTACCAATACCCGGATTAAGACGTTGAGTTGAAGCAAACTTCGCCAGAGCGGAAGTTTGGATTACATCAGTCAAAATGTATTGTTCAAAGGTAGTCAATGAGTTAGGTATGATCTCACTGATTTTGGCTAAGTATTAGGTTTAGTTAAGATCTTAATTCAAAGTCCGAAGTTGTTTGGGTGATAGCTATGGCGATGAGATTCCTCGCTGTGACTCTCTTTTCTAACTTTCATTAGTGAACGTGCTCAGTCTGTCTACTGACCTTGCTTTCGACCCACACTGAAAGTCTTGTGTTGGTTTTGTCAGTCAGCGATTGTTCGCTTGATCAGAAGCATTAACGATGTTGTTTATTTGTCTCATACTTGTAAAGGTGTTTAGGCTATTGTTCTGACCACGAATGATTAATCTTTCAAGGTCAGTTAGCCAGCGTGCCAACCTAAAAGTATGCTTATCGATAGTGAATAAAAAAGCGTCTTCTATAGAATTCAAAATCATAGTCGACCATATTTTCTCAGAGTGAGTAAGATTCAATAAAAGTATAACAAGACAACAGTATAACAAGAAAACATGATTCTTGTCCTAGGTGTTATCCTATTTCGTCTTTTCCGGTCAGGTAAAGATATTTCGGATCCAAAACTGCGATTCAAAGTTTCACAAAAAAAATAGTAGCAGAGTTCTTATTTATTTCAGCCCCCAGCTTACGTTCCTGTCACTCTATTCTGTCCCAATATGCATGGGAGAACTTTCAGTTAGGCACGATTGTCACTAGTTTTCAACAATACTCCACGAAGCTGTGTCAATTTGAAAATTCACCCCTCGTAAGTTGAGCCAATCTCCGTCACGAATTGCTTACGCCTGAAATTCCTATCCGGTACAAACCTGTAATTTCTTGGACCGGGTTGGTACGTCACGCATGAAATATGAAGTGCCTCACAAATCAAATATGCAATTTTTATCGTAGTATCATAAATATCAGAAAGAATGTATGATTAGGCTGCAAGAGATGGAGGTACATGTAGCAAAGCAGACTAAAGACGCGCTGTGTTATTACGTGACTGTTTCGTTATTTAACGCACTGTTGATGCGTTTTTATCGCTGTAAATGTAAAATTGTATTAAGTCGCGAAAAAAATATTTCAAGCATACATTTTGTTCAGCACTTAATGTAATGTCAAGCGCTGTACATTTAAAGGGTTAACTAATCGGGAATTTTCCTGAGAAGTTCTAGGACTGTATTTGATACGAGCATGGTTTTCAACCAACATCGTCGATGACAGCTAAATTAAAACAAAACGAACATTGAAGAATAAATGAATTTCAACAACAGATCCAGAAGTTACACTAAGATAAATTTGAAACTGATCAAGACTTTCAGCTCATTTTCTATTTTTCCATCACGCATTCTTTGTAGTAGCGGAATAGAATATTCGCATGAAGACATTTAGTTTAAAATCGAACGAGATAATTACAAGAACGGACGAGTACGGATATGTACGAAAGGGCACGTAAAAATCAATCACCTGTATTTCACACAAGTATAGAGTGTGGATTCCAAACAAGGCAATGTGATTAACTCACCGATTGAATGATGAGCTTACATTCGTATTTATATCTTCTTAATAATATTTCCTTTTACCCTTTTTTATCCTCCGCTAATTGTCTTGGTTAAACGGTATTTACCTTTTACGTCGATAATCCAAAAATCCGGTTGGGATGTAAAGATCAGTCACGTTGAATCTTATAACTAGAAATTGTTACGAAGTTGACGGAACTTTTAGGAAGATGGTCGTTGTTTATCCTCGGAAAGGTTTGCTATGGAAATGCTTGCTCAATCGGTTCGGAACTTAGGAGCTCGCGCCGACCTATACATGGAATATTTTTTAATCAAGGCCTTTTTCGGGAATAATTAGCTTTGGCTTAATTCGATTTATAGACTAGTTTCGGATAGCCTAGACAGAATTCCTTTGATAGATTGCCCATGGAAATGGTGGGATATTTTCGCTCACTCCTTCAGCGTAAAGTGGGACGCGAAAGTTACAACTATATGTAATCGCTTGATATATGTACAAAATCTGTACTTATTGCGTTTAAGTTATCAAAAATTATTCTTTTGACGACAAACTGAAATAAGAAACTGATAAAGCTGTTGGAACGTTCGGTATAATTGACCCTTACTGCATGGTGTATTGAAATTAATATAATCTTCTCCTTCTCCCAACATTTCAAATACAAGAAATTAGACCATTCCCTCCATCTTAGATCAAGATTTTTCCAACACTCGTCCCATAAGCCCTTTGTCTGGAAATTTCTGTGTCACAGGAATACGCGTATCCCAAGGAAATTTCCATTCGGGAATGCGGCTCATTCGTCTTAACTATCGAAAAATCGGTTTTTCTGATGGAATGGCAAAACAAGCAGGAATATTTGCCTACTTATGAGGAATTGATCCACGTCATCATTTTTGGCTTTTGTTTTGTTTACAAGATCATGGTTCACGCCCAAGATTACACTGGCACAAATTGATTACCTTATTGTGTTTTCATGAAAACTGTGCCAAAAACAAGTTTAAACAGTTTTTCCACGATCTTTAAGAACATGATAACGATTAATCGAATCAGTATTTTCATGTCCTTTGTCCTTTAATCATTTCCGGATGACAGATATGAAACTTTCTATGATCAGCAGGCACGTAATTACTGAAAACGGCGGTGACTCAAGCACAGATGTTTCTTGCTTTTGTTATAGAAGGAAACAGGAAACAGGAAACATAATTAGTTTATTGTTTATGTTGTTGAACAACGTACACTTCAATAGGTGACGTTACATTGACCTCGGGAGTACTTTAGGAGATGGTTGTTTATGAAGATCAAATAAGCCAATTAAGTTTCTGAATTCTCAAGAGGTGAACAATAGAAGAAAAAAAAATCACTTATTTTTTTGAAAACTGCCAAAAATTTGGCTGATCGGCAGATATCTTTCAATGGTGATCATATCATTTCTTTGTCTTGGCTCATATTCACAAAGTTTTTAACGTTATTTTCAGTTATTTTGTATTTCTCAACGCAGACTCCTCTCCGAATCCCTAAAATATAAAAAATAGCTGTGCGGCTTAAACCGTTAATTCCGTCATTATCTGGCAAACTTTCTCATGCTAAGCTACGCATTTTTCGATAATTACTTTTCATGGGTAATAAACCATTTAGAGAGGGGAATGTGACCGTTATGTGTATGTGCACGCCTTTACTAAGCACGCCTGTTGACTTCGCATTCTAAAGGAAAGCATAGGATAACACGCCTACATTAACGACATTGGAGAAGTACATGTCTTTCTTAAACAGAAGCGTTTCCCCTGGGCAACAATCGAACTCGCCTATGGCGTCTAATTATGAAACAGAACTTCAAGAAAACCATCGCGCTGAAGCAGAAGAAAAGGTCACTCTTACCAAAAAGGAAACCGTAGCGACGATAAACAGTCAAGAGCAACTGAATGGTGTCTCAAAAACGAATATTAGCAATGGTAGTAGTTTGTTGCAATCTGCTCAAGAGAAAAGCGATGCCTGCCAAGGTCTGAGATTGTATCGCGTGGCTCTGCTGGCTATGTCTTTTATCTCAGCAGTTTCTCTTGGGCTCACCTTGCTGATGTTGTTTGGTGTACTTCACGTTGCTTCACCTCAATGTACTTGCTCTGGAGAAACAGGTATTTGCAGATATCAGTGTAAGATGTTTAATTCTAAATTTTAATTCATACCTTGACATTGATCGCGCATTAAATACGCTTTAATTTTGGATCATTTTTTGCTGCGAAATTGAGTTTAAGCCTGTAGCCAACCAGAAAATGTTAGCCTGGTTAGGTAGAAAAACATAAAAGCTGGAGAACGTACGAAACCCAAAAAACTTTCAAGATCGAATTTGAATAAGTATAGATAAGACTGTAACGGACTGCAGATAATTAGCTTGCAAAATCAACGCCCAAATCGTGAAAAGCCCTCTTTATTGAAGCTTTTTTATTATCAGAGACCATCGAGCCATAGCTGTTGATTAAAGCGAACAGGAAAGGAGAGATCTATAGACACTTTACTTGAGACCGCGTTCCTTTGTTTCTTTTGTAACAGCATATCAACACACTTCTATCTTTTGACGTGACTCAAGTAACCCTGAACCTCGCACACAGAAGTAGCATTGAACAACAGTCTTCAATATGCACCGAAGTCTTAGTTCGATACATATGTACGTTGAAATGCATGTTAGCACACCTCTCAAAAATCTTGAATACCTTGATTGACAGCGATACTCTAACCGCCTCCCGGTTAGCTCAATTGGTTAGAGCGCTGGACTGTTGTGCGGGAGGTCGAGGTCGATGGTTCGAGCCCCGGCCGGACCAACACTCAAGGTCTTAAAATAACTGAGGAGAATGCGCTACCTTTCT